AGCTGTACAATAACGGAGGGGTTCATGGTGCGGGGCAGAAAGCTCATCAAAAGAGACTATCCAAACAATTGAGTTCTATAATTAACACACAAAAATCTGTTCAGAAATGGTAATAACAGTAAAAGAAAGCTGAGAAGATGCTGCCTTCTTATGTGGCAGATGTGGTTTTGTTACAATGCGAGAGAGAAAATCCATCCTCTTAAAGACTAAGAACAACATTCAAGGGGAAAAGTAAAAGTAACTTTTTGTTCCTAAGGGTGCAGTTAAAACATGAGCTTAAAATATTTCTAGAGAGAAGAGCTGTAGAAAAAGTAACCAGTGATGAAAGACATAAAATATGCTATCAAAGTATTTTTCAAGTCTTTAAACACAGATTTCTTTCTTCACTGAAATRTATAAATGTGACATTGAAATACCTCTTATTAAATTATTTGCTTTGTCCTTCATTTCACCAAGAGTACTATTTTAGAATCTTCCTTTAAAGTTTGCTACAGTCTTTGACTTAAAAGTAGTTTTCCCTCTTCTCTTGTATGTGGAGGGAGATTTGATTCAAAATTGCATCTTGAGGAATTTTRAAGTTTTCTTGAATATTTTCTGCTTCAAAAAATGGAAACTGGAATGCATAGCTTCTGACAGTTGGGCTGACTCCACAGTTTTTTTGCTGTATTAGTCACTTGTCTGTGATAATAAATGTTCTCAGTGGTGCAAGGTAGGTTCCTTTTGGACAGGAGGAGCGTGGTTTCTGTCTGGTTGTGGTGCTGTCCTGGCTGGGAGCCCTTTGCTCATGGTGCCTGTGTGGAGAGCTCAGTTTTGGCACAGGGCTCTGTATGGCCACAGATCTGCAGCCAGTGCTGCCGGCCTGTGCAGGACCACGTCCATGGGGCTTCTGGAAATTGGCATTGCACAACATCCATGGCAGATTTGCTTCTCATGTCACTTCATTCATTTAACTGGATTTACTTTAGCAGAGCCAAGCTTCTGTGCTTGTTTTTCCCCCTATTCACTTTATTAGGTCCTAATCAGAAATCACTATTTTCTTGGTTCCAAATCCTCTTCTCCAGCAGAGGCTTCAAGCAGGATTTCTCCTGGCCCTGGTCCCTGGTGTCCAGGGCTGCTGCCTGAGCTCCTGCCCTGCAATTCTCAGCTCAGGACTGGCCCTCCTGGATCTTCCCCATCCCATCACTGCTCAAATCCCAGCCAGCCCTGCCTCCATCCTGTTCAACCTCCAGGCACTGCCAGAGCCTCTGCCTGAAGCTCCCCGAGACGTTTTTATAATATGCACTGCATTTTTAATGGTTTAGGGACTCTTCAACAAGGAGGTTGGGAAGATTTCTTTATCCAACCCTTTGCAAGGCGTTACCCGATTTATTTTTCTTTAAATGACTATTGAGTATGTCAAGCCTTTTCCAAACTCTGATGGAAAGAATAATTGCCATTTTCACAAAGGAACAATTTAAGAGCAMGTACTGGGGGATTTTTTAAACTATTCAAAAGAATAATTTTCATGAATATTTCCATCACTCCCAAATAAAAAAAAAAAAACCTCAATAACATAGCTTATTTAAAAATAGTTAAAACCAATTTAATACATATCTTTTGTTGCAGCTGTGTTTAAAAAGAATGTGATTAGAGCCTCATCCACTATGAGATGAGTTTTTAAATTCTGAAATTGCTGTCTGAAATTTTTTAGTAGAAAWTTCAGCATTTGGACAGACTAAGCAAGCAGACTTTGCAGCCCACACATGTATTTTTTTTCTCTGTTTTTTTGGAGGAAGCTTTAAGTCTGAAAATCAGGTTTTAATGTGAAAATGGAGTTTGAAAAACAGCTTGAGAAAATTTACATTTAGTTTTGACTAAAGTTCCATAATTCTTCAGAGTAAGTTTTGCAGTTTTGACATGTATCACTCTGGTGAATTTGGAAAAAAGAARGAAAAAAATATGTAATAATGATCAGCAATGTTTGCCAGATCTTGTCTCACTTTAAGACAAATAGAAATCAAATAGATTTTAATACTATAACTCAAAGACATCAGAATAATTATTTCAAGCTGATGTTCCTTTAAATTAACATGACTTGTACTGAGAAAAAACTGTGAACTGAAAATATTTTCGTTTGAGAATTTCCCTTGAATGTGGTGCAGTCGATTGTAACCGTGTTACACTTGTGGGTGATCTGAATGTGAGAAAAGGTTTTTCTCCTTTTTTTTTTTAAAGAAAAAACCTAACAGAAAGAACTAATTAAGGCAAAGCTAAGAAATTGAACTCAAAGTTTACATTGCACATGTGAACTAATCTTTTTACAAAGGCATCTTTCGAAAACTGTGTAAGAACCCCATTCATGCTGGGTCTCACCCAGCAAATCCTTCCTAGAAAAGCAGCCGCGTGAAGATTTGTCATGAGCAAGCAATAAAGACTTCCAGGGAATGAGTTCTATACAGGCTTCTTGTTTGACTACTAAATCATTAACCTTCAAAAAAAAAAAAAAGCCCATCCATAGTTGTAATAGGTGTGTCAGCAGCRCTTCATGCTAAAAACAGCTTTTACAGGATTAGGTTTGAGTTTTTAAGTGGCGGTACCATGGAGCTCTYGGGGGCAAAGAACTACTGGTTTAATGCAGCACATTCTCTAATGCCCTTTTAGGTCTGTTATGAAATGTGGTGAATCTCTGAGCACACTAAAAGGAAGAAAACTGTCTTCAGGAGTAGTTGATTTTTGAAGCAAAATGGCTGTGTGTGCTTTAGGAGCAGCCACTGTGTTTGGAGAGCTTTCTTCAGGTCTTGAAATATTAATGATCTTGGCTTAATATAGTAGAAAACAAAATACAGTGCATGAAACGAGGGAGAAAAAAATTGCTTGAGTTACAGTGTGTTGACCTTGCAGTATCCACTGAATCCATCTATTCCCTTTTAAACCACGGAGGATGAAAAGACAGGGAGAAATGGTCACAAAAATCTTTCCCTGTGACATTTTCTTGTCTTTCTAGAAGCATGTTATCACCCAAACAGGATTTTCAGCCTTGAGCTAGATTATTGAATATATAAGTATTTTAATACCATGAATATGCAAAAGATGGCTTTGTTGAATGATTTCTGTGGACTGTGGTGTTCATATTAAGAGTAATATTAGCGTTTACATGTTTAGTTTTTAAAACCTTGRTTAATAGAAAGAGTTTTGTAGATAAAAGCAGATAGTTTAGTTTCCTCTCATATTCTGTTTTTCAATGCCTTGTCTTTATATATTGTCTGTCCTGGTCATATATAGACTGAGGCATGTTTCTCCTCTGAGYTGTGACWGTGAAAACCARGAGTATTATCTAAGACCAGCATCYGCTATTTGACTGCTGCTGTTGTTAMAARCAGGACCTGTATTGATAYAGCAACTTGCTCACCAGATAGTGCAAATTGTATAAAAAAAGGAAGGGTTGTTTTTCATGGTTGGTTTGTTTTGCTAGGCAATTCCCATCCCAAGCAGAATAAGCTGTTCTCCAGGAGTTGCTTTTGCATCCTGCGAGTGCCTGGCCCATGGGCCAGACGTGGTGGGTTTGTATTTGTGTTCAGGGACTAAAACTGTCCCTGACGTGGGCAGGGTTTGACCCCCGCCATCCTCCGTGCCAGAGCTGTGGTGGCTGATTTTAATTGAAAACCCAAGGCAGTTTGAAKCACGGCCAAAACACACCTTGCGAGTGGAGCCTTATCTAATAACAGGCTGCATGTAAACTCTGGCAGAGCAGATCTCAGTCACTTGAGCAATGTGTTTTCACAAGGCACCCTGGTCCCGGGGCAGCCCCAGCCAGTGACACCGGGCTGATGTCCCAGCGCTCKCACATCGTAAAGGCAGCGCTTGTTAAGGACGTTTCATAAATGGCTTTGGCTAATCAGAATGAAGTAACTTGCTCTTTTATAAATGAGTTACTAATATCCCTCTCCATTTCCCACTGGAGGGCTTCATGAAGGGAAGGAGGGAAAGAGCGAGGGGGACTAAAGGAAGGTTGAAACAGCTCGAGCGAGCCCTGGCTGTGCGGGGGMTTGTGCCCTCCCAACAGGAGCCTGTGTGTAACAGGGGAACCCTAAAGGTAGCGTAGGTGATAAATGACAAGAAGTAGGAGTGAGTCATACAGTAAATACTGGGAACAACCTTTCCTTCTTACTGGTTTGCGTGCCTGGGTATTTTCTCTCTTCTCTGTAGTGCTAAAAGCCGATGGTGGTGATGGTGGGCTTTTATCTCTAGCCAAAGGGGGAAATTTCTAGGATGACATACCTGTTAGCCACCATGAAAATGTGTTATTAATGATGCTAATGTGTTATTAATGATGCTAATGAGTTTTTTCCAAGTGATGTAAAAGTAGCCATTTGTGTAAGCACTGCATTTATGAAGATGATGTCACTGAAAGCTTGCCAAAAGCATGTGGGCTCTGGTGGCAGTGGTGCAGTCACTGCTGTGCCCTGGCTTCGAGGAGGGGGAGAGCATTGCTGATCTCCTCCCTTGGGGAGAAAGAGCCAAATGAATTCTGCCTTGCCAGCAGGGAGATGTGCCATTTCCGGGCATGTTGGGTTCCTGCCCCACTCCCTCTTAAAAATTGGCAGTGTCTGACTGTCAGCTGCCATTCCTTAAGTGGTCATAGAATAAACCAATTGCACCCCTTTTGTCATGCTGTGTGTGGGTGTGTGGGTGCAGGTGGACATGGGTTAAGCCACATGTGACTCCACAGTGAGCACAAAGAGGCAGTTGATTTTCTGGCAGTGGCAACAGAAGAGTATAATTTTTTTTGCCATCTCTAAGCCAGTTTTTAAAATGGCTCTTGTTGGAATTAGAAATCAGTATCCCCTGACATAGGATTACCCATTAAGAGTGTGATGATTGTTAATTCTTCACCTGGGGCTAAGAGGACATCATTAGATCTCTTTGAAATGTCTCCTGCCTTGATTTTGAATGAGTAAGCTAGCAATTTATGAGCACAGCCTGGGCCAGTAACACTCTCCCTTCCTGTTCCTCCCATCTAGCTTGCAAAATYGGATACTACAAGGCTCTCTCGACAGATGTTGCCTGTGCCAAATGCCCGCCTCACAGCTACTCCATCTGGGAAGGCTCTACCTCCTGCACCTGCGATCGGGGCTTTTTCCGAGCSGAGAACGACGCTGCCTCCATGCCCTGCACTCGTAAGTTGGTCTTTGAACATTGCTTCCTCCTTTTATCACCCATTTCTTCTCTCTGTCTCTAAAAAGCATTTTGCTTCCGACAGCAGCATTCGGTAGCTCTGATGGCCCTTTGAGGATGCAGTTTGCATTTTGGCTGACACTTCTGAGAGAAGGTATTAGTTCTCAGCCCTCAGTTCTAGTGGTGGCATGGTTGTGCTGACCCTTGAGAGCTGCAGTGTAAATAAATCAGGAGACTGGGAGGAGACACAGTTACAAAAGAGGGACTCACAACAGTAACACAGGTAGAAGTAAAATGCAGGCTTAAGTTTTGGTCTGACCGCCTGGCCAGTTGATCACATCACTTTTCATGTCTTAATATGGATATTTGTAGAAATTGTGAAAGCTTTCCTTGTAACTATATGACTTCAGGTAAGCAGGTAGTATTTATAATCTCATATATTTCTAATTTGCTTGAAATACGGCTGGTAACCCTTGGGAACCTAAGTGTTCATCTGAAAGGGGTGGTAATAATAAATGTTAAACTGTAATGAAACAACACCCAAAGCATGGTTTATTTTATCYTGTGTGGATAAATACATCATGTACAGCAAATGGCATTTGCTTTGGTTCCACCAAAATGCCTTCAACAGGGAGAAGGAGTGGTACATTGAGCACAGTCACAGGATTGCTGGAAAAAYTCCCTGTCCTAGTGTTGATTAATGGCTCATGCAGCCAAAGACCTGGGATTCCAGGCATGTCCTGGTGTTAAATTGTGATCATCTGGTTCTTTAGTTTTCCCTTTCTTAGGAGMAGAGCAGTTTGAAACAGTAAGTGAAAGGGATGCACAGCCATGTGTGGCTTTCCCTGAAAGCAATTGGAAGTGTTTTCAGACTTTTGGAGTTCAGCTGTATATTTATGTACAGAGTGTGTATGTTTGTCTCTGAGTGAGGGAAGGCCGAGATACTTGTTTTGTAATGTTTTAATATATTGTGAATTAATTTTGTGACAGATGACTCACATTTATTTAAACCTTAATTTCTGCCTTACAAGGCAGAAACAGAGTATGTCCATAACTAAGCTAGCACTCATCCTTTCCCCTCACCCCCTTGATTGCAGCTGTTCTCCAGTTATTTCCTTTTTCTTTAGGAATGAGTTTTGCTGGGTGGTGGTTGAGGAGGCCGGGGCATAGCCAAGAGCAGCTGCTTTTGCTTAGCAGGAAGCAGAGTGGTGAACRTATCCCTTGCCAAGTATTGACTGGGAATGGAGTCTAACTGTGTTGTGAAACCTTGCCTAAGTGGGCAGGAACATGCTTTCTATAATATAATTTACACTAGGAGATCTAAAACGTGACCAGTTTGATAGGAAGAATGTCCTTCTGCAACAACAAAACTATTGTTTGGAATGTACACCCTAAATAACATTATACTGACAAAAGTGTTTCAAAGCCCTGGTCCTGGTGAGTGATATGTTGACCAAATTGAAATCAAATTAGTGATCAACTGGTTGAATTTAAATAGGCATGTGCATTCAGTGAGGTATGAGRAGAGAGCAAAACATTTCCAGATGGGGAAATTGTAAGCAAATGATATGTATGTTTGCTGGTATTGCAAAATGTACCCCTGCAAGCTTAGYCCTTTTTTGTCAAGTCTTGGGCCTACTGCGGTCACCTTTCCCCATTCCTGTCTTTGGAGGTCAGTCAAAGCTTGTTCCTGATCTTGGTCTTTTACCCTGAAGATATGGAGGAAAGGAGAAAAGGCCAAGGCTGTGGTGCTGGCCTCAGTCTTCACCTCTGCATGCAGAGCCCTCCTATCACTACAACCCTGTGGATACCTGCTCTTGGAAAACAGGCGTGTCTCTGGAGGTCCTGCTTCACAGCTTTGAACTRTCCTGTAGCTTGAGGGCTCCTTTTYCTGTGGTCCAAGGTGAAGGATGAGGCAGGAGTTGTTTCTGAGCTGCCTGTGGGGCAGCTGTGGCTCCTCAGTGGCTGCTATGCCTGCTGAAAGCCCCTCTTTGAGCTCTGCCTTGGCTGTGCTCGAAGGCTGGTGCCTGCTCAGGCAGCAAATCCAGCCCTGCTGAAGGTGGTGCAGAGGGTGCAGGGGCTCTGGGGGGCTCTTCCTTTGCTGTGTTCTCCCTCTGAGTGACCTTCTGCCTGCCTACCTGGAAAAGGGACAGCGTTCAGATGGCTTCTGCTGAAGGAAGACCCTTCAGAAAARGGTCCCCATTTGTCTGACAAGAAGTGGAGACAGAAGGGAGCATAAAYATCAAAGGTGCTTTCAGGCGGATTCTGACTGTAATCAGTTCTTACCAGTTGGTTAAACCAGGTGACAAACCCAATTCCCTTGTGCTGACAGCCATAATAATCAGGCACCTTCTTTGTTCATTATGCTCTCTTTAACTCTGGTATTCTCATTCAGGCCTGCATTTAGTAATCGCTCAGTGTGACGGCACACTAATGAAGAAATAAAACACAGTATCTGAGATCCATTCTTCTAGCAAAAAGATAGACTCTGCTCCACTGGCTTGTAAAATCAGGTTTCTGTTCACTTGGAGAACTATTAGACCAGGTGAATAAAAGTAACATTGGATAATTTGGAAAGAACACCTGGAATGGACTGTGGATTGATCCTTTCTTTATTATTCGTAAACACTTTTTAAGATGAAGAATTTCAGCCTTCTTAAGATGTGTTTTTGTAAAGCTTTGACCCTTGGCTATTGATTTCCTTTAGTAATAAACTGGCTGGCCTTGTCACTTATCTCTCCCCCTAGGTAGGGGGAAGAAGACTGTTAGGACTTTCCATTAGCCTGATTGTGCTGGTGGATGAAAGGGAATTGGAGAATTCCCCTTCTTTTTTCCTTTCTTGCAATTCCCATGATARGGAACAAAAGCAGTAGCTACTTCCTGGTGTGCTGGCCAGGAGAGGTGCTCCTGAGTTTTATCCTTCCATAACACACCACTTTCKGATACTGCCATCCCTTGCTGAGCTRTAAAAACTGTGTCTAACCTCAGGTAAACCAGGCATCAAGTTCCTAAGCAAGTAAATCAAAATGTAGCTTTGGTATTCTGCTTTATTCCAGTTCTGCTAGAGTGAGTAGTTCTGCCTGGTTAAAATTTGTACAAGTAAGAGCAGAAAGTGGCAGAGTGTGGGTGTAGAGACAGTGGAGTGGGCTGTGCTGAAGGCCAGGCAGAGGCACCCTGCCACACACATTTTTACTGTGCATCTTTCCCCTCACACTTACCCCCTGAGGACAAATCATCAATGTACCTGTCACCACCGAGGGGCAGAGCCACCCTGGATGTGCTGCTTTGGCCAAACTTGGGAATTCAGAGCTCTGTAGCACAGTGGGCTTGTCATCTGTGTGCCTGGGCATGGAGATGGGATGATTGACTTGTAATACACCTGAGCACAAACCGTGAAAACACGGATGCCTCTCCCTTTTGGAAGCATTGCAAAAGTAATGTCAAGGCAGCGCTGCAGACCTTCATTATATTTCAGCACTTGGAGAGAGGAAGGGTCTTTCATAAGGTTAGCGATGTAATGGAGAATAAGTTGCCTTACCCACACACRAATCCACGGGGCAGGAAAACAAATCAGCCTCAATCATGGCCCTTGTCCCTGAATTCCCTTCTCTGTAAGGAGATAYCCTGTGAATTGCAGCCTGGTGCGGGCAGGTGCAGTTCCCACCCAAATTAATGGGCGTTGCTCTTGCGTCCCCACCGTTAATGAGTTGGGTTCTCTAACTCTTAACAAACAATGCTCACATTATGAGCGAGAACGGAATGGCTTTGTATTGTTTATATTGTCTGTTCGATTCAAATTATTAATGATTTTTAATTGGGAGCCCTTTACAAAAGAGAGATTACCATCATGGACTGTCCAGCTTGAAATCTGCTTCGGTAAATGACCCTGAATAATTTAGTCAGTTGTGCCACCCAAATGGGGACTGATTGATTGATTGATTGATATTTTGTCATGCCCTGAAATATTCCAAAAACGGCTGCATTTAAGACAGTTTATACTGGAGAAGCTTAGAGATAATAAGAGCAGATTTAGTGAGATGCAAGAGAAGAGTGCCTGCTTTAAAAGGACCTTCTCCAGTCTAGGTTATCAAGAAACTGAATAGCCTGACTTCAAACAGCAAACATCACTTACTTGTCTTTAAATTCCCCTCTTCTAATTGAATTTAGTGCACTGCTGTATTTCCTCCAGAAAGTATATTGTTTTTAAATTACCATTTCAGTGCTATTACTCAAGGCTCCTGCTTCTAATGCTTTCTGACAGTTATCAGCATAATGAACCATAATGAAATGATGAGCAATCTACAGTGGAAACTCTATGTGAATTCCACTAGAGCTGTGTGACTGTGTTGTTAAAATTTGAATGCACATTAAAATAACACTGTCCTTATTTGTTTCCAAGGTCAAGTCTTTAAAAAAGGTCTGAAAGGTCTAAACACTTCAATCTTGTAGATGTTGCAGTCTAATATACACCCTTAAGGCAATCTTGTGTTACATTTAACGTATCTCAGAGTTAAATATTTGGCCTGCTATTTCAAAAAAAGAATGAATTTTCCTACCTAATAACTGTGGCTGCAAGTGAGTAATTACATAGGAGCTGATAATTTGAGCACATGTTTATAATGATTGCTTAGACTATAAACAATATAAATAAACAAATATGCTCTTTTTCCTTCAAATTGTTCCTTTTCTAAGTTTCCAGTCAGACATGGGTTATCTCTGTTGCAGCTGTTAGGAGAAAAGAAAGTAGGATACACCACACAATCGTGCTGGCTATTGCATTTTAGGTGGCTTTGCAATGGTTTTGCCACACTTCCACAYTTGTGCTGGCACTACTGCTGTCAAAGCTCACTCTCTATAATACACCAATAGAGAGTCTGACCTTCAGAAATTAAATTTATTACTCTTTCACATCTTTATATATAATGTCTGTATCTTCAGTAAATGATTTTGTTCTTAAAACGTCATATGAGATTGTTCATTATGTAAGTAGTACATCAGAATG